TTTTGTCTTATATGAAAAACGTATTCTGAGAATACGTTTTTCAATTAAATTTAATTGAAAAACGTATTCTCAGAATACGTTTTTCATATAAGACAAAAAAGTGGGCACTGTCCACGGTGGGCAGGTGAGCGGGACTGAATTAACTAGTAGCTTGACCTTGCGATTAGACGTGGCAAGGGTTGAACCGGCACGGAATTCTCCCTTTCCGAACCGGACCCTTACCTCTTATGGGCCAATTCCGGGTTGTATTTTTTTTATTTTTTTACCCGCTGGGCCGGGCCGCTTTTAGGCCAGGGGAGAGACGGGCTCAATTTCTCTCCTTTTTTGAAGGGTCGACCGGCTGTTGGGGTCCAAATCTGACAACGATCAAATCTTTTATTTTTTTTTTTGTGGGCCGGGTCGAGTCGACCATTGGGGCCTAAATCTGTCAACGGTAATTTTTTTAGTGGGCTGAGCAGGCAGACCAAGTCACCAACAATAATTTTTTGAGAAATTGTCCTGTAGACAAACAAAACAAAGAAATATTGCATCTATATAAAATTATTTATTTGCAAACATAACAAATCTGTCAAAAATAATAGCACTAATACACTTACAACCGTTTTTTTATAGATAATTATTAAAGATGTAATTTTTGAATGGTAACTTCCTAATTTATTGGGATTCTAAATGTAACCTCATAACCATTAACGTTTTTTTTTTCTCTCACTAATCATCCACTAGTACAGATCCCGTGCGATGCACGGGGTGCTCAAAATTAAGGCTATTTATCAAATCTTATAATTATATAAATGAATAATGAAAAATGTACAGAATATATATAGTACGTGACCTGTAATAGGCAAAAATGTGAACACGGGTAATGCACGGGGTGCACAATTTTAAGGTCATTTATTAATACAAAATCCGTGCGATGCACGGGGTGCACAATTTTCTAGTATGTGTAATACAAATATATACCGTATGCACATGACAGAATCACTAAATGAGTTATTTTCACATAGCTTGCCCGTTAAGGGGTGATTGTTTATAAATTGAATAGTAAAAAAACCAATCAGAACTCAAATTTAACTCAACTTTAATTCAACCTCACTATCATCAATATTATTAATATAATTAAATAATATCAACCAATCATTCTTACACATCACATCAAATTTAATTCACTGTTCATCTACTCACATAACTCTAACTAACTACCACTTCCAATCATTTTTTCCCTACTTTACATCAAATCAACTTTAATTATTACATTTAAATATTATTTTAATATATCAACTAACAACTAATCATTTTACCTTTTTTTTTAAAATTAACTATAGTTAAAAACAAACCAAATAAAAACCAATTCAATCTATAAACAATCACACCCTAAGTAGCTCCTGAACACGGGTGCACAATTTATAGTACGTACTATAAAATTAGAATAGATTTCCATACAATTAGATAAAAAAATTAGATAATAAATAAAGCTTTTTTTATTTTAGTAAAGATTTTATGTATTTTTTTTTACTTATTGGATGTTATGAGACTTTTTTTGTTAAACCGATTTTATGGGATATGATACAAATACAATTAGAGGATTGAACAAAATCAAAACAGATTTCTATGCAATTAGATAATAAGAAGGAATTAGATAAGGAAAAAAAGAAATTAGATAAAAAATTTTGAATATACCTTTTTTTAGTATAGATAGACTTGACGTACAAATTTTGACTTCACCGATTTTTTGAGATTTGTTTTGACAAAATCAAAGACGAACACTGAAGACTGTTTCTATTAACATTTACAATGTGTATTTAATGTGTTTTTTTGGCAAAATATTCTTTTTAAGTGTGATATATAAATATTAAAAACACTTAAAATATTGTATAACATCTATAAAAGCATCTAAAATATTCTATATTATTCACAAATAATGTTTGAAGCTACCTAAATTTTTGTAAACTACTCGTAAGGAAAATGTCTAAAAATTCTTCATTTAACCTCCAGATATGTATATATATAGAGAGAGAAAATGTGTAAAAAAAATTATACAAATAATATTTAAAAGTATCTAAAATATTAGTAATTAGACATGTGAAATTTAAATTTTAAAAAAATCTATATAGATAATGGATTTATAGTAGTAATTAGACTTTTATTTATTTACGTTTAAAGTAGTTACGATAGATGAGGGATGTGATTTTTTTGACTCGTGGAGATGGAATTTTATAAGTTGGGTTATGAAATTTTCTTAAACTCATCCATATCTATGCGATGAGTTTTTTAAGCTGGGTATATAGATTTAAAATTGTAAAAAAAATCTTTCATAAATCATTTTATTTGGTATTTTCGGAGAGCTTCATTAATTTGAAAGTGTAAAATAAATAAATAAAAAATGTACAACTGAAAAAGTTACAACCAATTGTATAGAGAATTAAATTAGATCCAATTTTGTAGGATGCATTAAATATTGATTAGATTTTATATGTAAAATAAAATAAAAAAATAACTGGAATAATTTTAGGTGTTGCAATATTTTATATTTAAAAAAAATTAAAAAAACTTCTTTTACGTATTCAATACCACTATTTTAGGAACTACATGAATATTCCTAAATTAATATTGCATACCCAATATTGTATGAACTAATTAAATGATAATTTGATTTGCATACCAAAAATATTAGATTCATTAATTAAATGCTTGATAAAAATAGTAAATCATTAATTATGGTTCACTATTCTACATACTACATTTAGTAAATAGTATAGCTTTTAATATAAGTATAGATGAGCACAACCACTTCCATTAATTTACTTTACTTTTCACTTCATCTTCCTCAATCATTTTTTTCTCCTTCACTGTTCGCCTCTAAAAAAATACAACAAAAATGCCCGACTATTTATTTTGTTAAATGAAAACTTGTATAATGATTTTTCTCGATTCTTCTGAAGAAAACCGGCACGGTCGCCCAAAAAAAACCAGGAATCCGTAAATCGGCCGTGGAGAAGGCGAAGAAGAAGAAGACAAAAAGGCTGAGTGAGTCAAAACGCCCGAGGCCGTGAAGAAGAGAAAAATCTTTTATATATATATTCTCGTAAGCACGACGTTTACTGTTTTTTCTGTATATCTTCTGTATATATTTTGTATATAATGACAAGATTGATTTATATTGTGTTTTTTGTATTTATGTCCTCCGTATATAATAAGTATATTTTCTGTATATAAGTCTGCTAGTGTATGTTGCATGTATTAAACCAGAAAATAGTATATTTTTTGTATATAAGTCTGTTAGTGTATTTTGCATGTATTAAACCAGAAAATACACTATAAATATATAGAAAATACGAGATGTAAATAACACAAAAAGTAAACAAAAAAGGATTACAAAAATATAAAATTATCAGGTTTATTTTGTATATTTTCTAGATTTATATATTTTATGTATATTTTTGGTATATATTATGTATATTTTTTTTGTGAATGTCATTATGATTACTTATGTTTTTCATATTTATTCTTTTATTGGTTTATAAATCTATGCTAAATAAAAAAAAAAAATATAGAAAATTTAAGGTAAAAAAAGTATTTAAAAATTTACATGGAGAGATAATTAAAATTTAAAGGGAATTAAATGAAGATAAGAGAAAGGAGATAGGTAGAAAATAACGGAGTAACCGAAA